TTTTTTTTTTTTTTTTTTTGCACTCTAGTGCTCGCCGTAGCTAATCAGCTCAAAGTATTGCCATTAAAAATACACTCACCCAACGCACAAGCCAAAAGCAAATTGGAAACAAAAACAATAAGTCAATGCAAGGCGCAAGTGGCGCCTGCAAATAAATTGAAACAAATATACATTTCACTTAAATGCAGGCGGCTATAGTAGGGAGAGAGAGGCGGAAGGGGAGAAGGCGAGAGAGAGAGAGAGAGGCAACTACGTTAGTAGAGCAGAAAAGTTAAGGGTGGTCAATGGGCACATAAATAAAATATTAGCTGTAAGTGTGTGGGAGAGAGAGAGAGGGACAGAGTGTGTGTGTCTGTGTCTGTGTGCTACACTTTGTTAACGCTCACTTCTAAGCTTGTTGCTGTGTTTGTTTTTTGGTTTAGGGTTTTTGGTTTTCTGGTTTTCAACTCTTCGGGAAAAAATAAAAGCGAAACATTTCAAATTAAAAGTTGCTGAACAAAAAACAAAACACAAAATGAAAGAACTTGCAGCTGGCCCGTGCGGCGTATGCGGCGTATGCGTAATCTTCAAGTTTCAGCACGAAATAAGCCAAAGTTGCTCAACTGCTGCCGCTCAACAGTTGTGCAACTGTTCCACTCACATTGTCCTCGGCATCGGCATCGCCCTCGGTCTCGGCCACTATTGAAAAGTTATTACCGTCCCGTGTATTGGCCATTAGAGAAGCCAATGGAACGCGCAGTCATTAGACCGCATTGTTGTGTACGTTCTCAATTGCAGTTTGGCATTGATTCGCTTTACGTGCGGTCGGAATCGAAAAGAATACGAAATAAAAGCAAATCGCAGCAAATATCAAGTCGAACCTCTCAGTCCGAAACCAAATGAAATTGCAACATTTGTTTGTATTCGCTCTCCCTTTCACCCACACGCTCGCTCTCTCTCTCTCTCTCTCTCTCTCGCTCTCTCTCTCTCTCTATCTCCTTCCGGCTGAATGACACACAATAGCATTGACAATGGCCATAGCTTAGGTTACACACTCACACACACACACATATGCTATACACTTTCGCTTTGTACAAATTTTTGTGCCCAATGGCCATTGAGTTTTATATGCCGCCTTCTCCTAGCTCTGACCTGTCCCAGGCGACAAGACGCAAGGACTCTTCCCTCGTTCGTTCTGCAGCTCCTGCGGCGTCTTCTTCTTGCTTCATTGTTTGGCAAATTGAAAATGCATTTTTTATTTTTGTGGTCCGGCACCAAGAAAAATTTGAATTTTGGTCAGAGTTGTTGTTTCTATGCACGCTCAAGGAGTAAAATAGAGTTTATGGGTTTTATGAGAGGTAAATCTTGACGTCTGTGAATTCTAATGCCCAGAGCAAGTCGAAATCAAGACTGTATATGAAAAAAAGAATAGTAGCAATAAGAATTCCGTCATGAATGATGCTATAGTCTATACTCTCCATGCTCTAATCTCAAACTTTGAGAGCATAGCAAAGGAAATATTCTCCAGAGAAGCCTATTCGTATATTTATTTTTCACTGCTTGCCAAATTAATAATAATCGATGGATATATTTTGTCATTTTTTTACCACGAGCAAGCATCTTGCAGTCAGCTACATCCGACTGCAACATTCTTGGCTGCCCTCGTTACTCTTCTCTGTGCTAGGCTGTGGCAGCGCATCAATTACACGCTTATAACAACCAAGCAATATATTATGGAATCAAAGTCATAAAATTCATTTGGCAACGACTCTGGCGCGGTGTCCGTGCAGCCCATTAATTGTGAGCAATGCCCTCTTCAGACCAAACAAAAAAATGGGTTCCGAAATTAGGGACGAGACTTGTGCTGAAAAACCTCTATCTGTTATAAAGGTGAAATTTGAAATGAATCTTAAGCCTCAAAGCGGGCATTGGAGCATTGTGAGTTGTTTCATTCCGAAATTCCTTTAATTTAATTCGAGGTGTTTTATAAGCGTTTGCTTAGAGCACTTTATTTAATGATGTCAAAAAATATATCAGACAGCTGTAAACGACGATATACATAAACTATCGAAAATTCAAATTTAAATCATCTTCAAATTCACTGAGCAGCAGCTATCGCACATGAATTGCTTATCGATACTTACAAGTTATCAAACATCGTTAAAATTCAAATGCTGCCTATCGCCACATTTTCGCATCACTAAGGCTCTCCCATTCAATTGCTGATCTCAGCAACTATCGCAACCATTCGCACATAACTAAAGCGCGCGCTTAGTGATATCCCAGCACGAGTTGTTTATGCGCCATCTCTAGGCGCAAAATGTGCGGCACCTGCGTTGGCTTGTTTACACTAGGAGAGAGTGGAAGAGAGAGAGAGAGAGCGAGTGTGGCCGTAGACAAAATTTATAACACATAAAAGTTGATTTTAGCACTTTACGCTTCTGCACATTATGTGGCCCATGGACATGGACACTGCTGTCTCAAATTACAGGTGATTATATGAATTTTAGTGCCTACGACATGCCGTTAGCAGGCAGCAGGTAGGCGAGCGGGCGACGGGCAGGCCAACTCGACAAATTGCAGCCCTTTTTGACCAAGTGCCTGCGAATGTGCGGCTTCCTTCCGGCATAGAGTGGCTTAATAGCAGGGGCGTGGCACACACCCATCACACTCACACACACACACACCGTCGAGTGGTGCGTGCGTGAATTCTCAACGTGAAGCTTAACGTAAATAAATACACGTATTTATTTACCCGGCGATTTTTATGAATAGCCACAGAAATGGCCAAGCATAAAAAAGCGGAAATGGAAGTGGAATTGGTTTAGAGGAATTGCTCATAAATATATTTATGTGAATGCAATTGCAACCAGCTCCGATTTGTAATGCTAAACCGAAATTGAATATTGATATATGCGCTCTCTCTCTCTCACGCTCACTATCTCTCTCTTTGCAGGCGCCAAGCACATCAGGTAGCCAAATCGCTACCGTCTCACATTTGGTGGCTTTGGCCAATCAGCAGCACAAGCAACTGAAACCCACTGAAGCTGTTGAGCCACGCGTGCAGGAGGAGGAGCAGCTGGAGGAACAGCTAAATGTGGTTGAAGCAACCGCAACCACAACAGCAGCAGCAGCAGCAGCTGAAGCTGGAGAGGCAACAGCAGCAGCAGCGGCAGCGACAGCAGCAACAACACCTACTGGCAAAGCCAATGGCAACGGCGGTGTGGAGGTGCTTGAGGATCCGCAGCTGCAACAGCAGTTGGAACAAATGCAACAGCTGCAAAAAACAACCACCGTCGGCGGTGGCGGTGGCGGTGGAGGTGGAGGTGGTGCCAGCACATCAAATGCTACAACAATTACATCGATATCAGCGCTATCGCCACAGACACCAACGACGCCAGCAGCTGGCCCAATGACAACAAAGACCAGCACGCTAACCAGCTGCAACCAGGCGCATCCGTTATGCAGCTCCGCAAATGCCTCGGGTGCGGTAACACCCGAGCCGCGCACCAAACAGCTCCACCTGCAGCTGCATCAGCAACCAAATCCAAGTCCCAATTCATCCACTCAACACTCACAGCAGCAGCAGCCGGCACAGCAATTGTCCAGCATCGCGAATCCCATGCAAAAGGTGAACAAACGCAAGGAGACGCTGGAGGCGAAGCGTGAAAGGAAAGCGGCCAAAACCTTGGCCATTATAACGGGCGCCTTCGTTGTCTGCTGGCTGCCCTTCTTTGTGATGGCGTTGACGCTGCCCCTCTGCGCCGCCTGCCAGATCAGCGACAGCGTCGCCTCGCTCTTCCTGTGGCTGGGCTACTTCAACTCGACGCTGAATCCGGTAAACATTTATTATGCAAACATAGAATATATATATAAATAAGAATTATAAATCAGTGTAAACTTTTCCAAATTTCTTTGTTGTGCATGAATCTGGAACTAGATCATCCTAAAAGTGCAATGAATATTTCTGTTTAAATATCTTAGGGCATTGCTAATCTCCTCTGCAACTTCTGTAACAAGTTTAAAGAACTGTTTCAATGTTTACAAGGCATCGTTTATAGAGCTTACTGAATAGTCCTTGAGAATAATCCTTGAGCTCTGCAAAATCGTTCTCTCTGTATACCCATTTCTCTCCACTATGACTATCTGAATTTGGTATATTTTGGAGCATATCTCAATCATTCATCCATTCGCTTGTAAATTATATATAATGAGATTGTTATATATGATATAGTCAAACTATGTTCCCTTTTTGCCTCTTTTGGGACAATTGGCAGCACATACGACTTTATCGATATATATCGAATAACTAATCACTTTTAAGCCCAGAATAACAAATGCGAAAATGATCTTAGACATGTGTAGATACTTCTATAACGGGCAGAAATATGCGTGTTTGTATATTATAATCCATATGCATATATTCTTACAAAAGAGCAGGAGCTAAGCCGATAATAACTACATATATCATTAGTCCGTCTGTATGAACCGTTAACCTCAGCAATAGTATATAATCCGGTAAAACTCAGCCCAGTTGCCCACCTGCACTGAGGACAATATTCATTTCATAAGCGAAACGGCATTTCAGTTCCCTCTATGAAACCAAAAAAACTCTCGCTCATAATATCTTCGATTCTCTCAAGGAATTGATCACATATATTTGTATTCACATATATAAATGTGCATAAATCTCGATAGCTGGCTAACGTCCGTATTTCTCAAAGTTCCACTCGAGATTGTCCAGGGGGCAGACGGGACGCGTCTTCAGCCAATGCGAGATGCAGTGGAAGTGAAAGGCATGATTGCACGAGCCCCAGGCGACGGTGCACTCGGAGCCGCTGTTGGTCGACTGATTCGCCTGGCATTGAATGCACGGATCCATAATGTGATTGCGACAAATGGCACAGTTATCGACGACTATATCCCAGGACCAGAGAGCAACGCCATTCCATTTCTTGACATTGAAACGTTTGCGATCCATGCTGTTGCCGTTCCCATTGCCGCTGCCGTTGTCCTTTCCGTTTCCACTTCCACTGCCATTCCCCTTGCCCTTGTCGTCGTTGTTCTTGCCGTTGCCGCTCCCATCGCCATCGCCGCCGGCTGCGGCTGCGCTGGTCGTTGGCCCCTCGTTATGGTTGGCGCTCATTTTCGTTTTCTTTCTGCCCAATTGTGCAATAATTATTACATCTGTATTAGGCGAAGTTTTACATAAAACTGAATTTCACTTACTCCCTTTTTTTTACAATCTACTAAACTATTTTACGTGCTCACACGGCGCTTTTGACAATTAGAATGGGCCGTTGGGAAGTTGACAGCGTTGCCACCTAAGTTTTGTTGTTGTCATGGATTACTTGTATTTCATTTCGATATTTATCGATAGTAAGGTTGGATTTTTAAAGTATATTCTCTTCAGTTACTTTGGCATTAAAGGAGCAGAGCTTGACAGTGCTACAAAATTAGCCATTTTTGCATAGCAAATTAATAAATACATATGTATGTACTACATATACAGTAGAAACCGGTTATAACGACGAAAATTGTGGTACCCAGACAAACTCATCTAAGTAAACTTATATAGCTATAGCGTCCTCTGAATATATGTATTTATTTTGTATTTATAGAAGCTAATTGCTTTGCATTATAAGCTCAACTTTCTATTCCTATTCCTATTTTCTATTCCAAACATTTTGCCTTTTTTTCTTAAACCAAGTTTAATTTAAGAAAATTTCATAGAAATATTGAATTTAGCTAATAAAAAACATACTCCTTTCTCTCCCTCTCTCTCTCTCACACACACACACACACACACACACTCTCTCTCTCTCTCTCTCTTTCTCTCTCTCTCTCTCTCTCTCTCTCTCTCTCTCTCTCTCTGTCTCTCTCTCTATCTCCCTGCATCTCTTTTCCTTAACTCCCTGTCATTCTCTCTCTCTCTCTCTCTCTCTCTCTCTCTCTCTCTCTCTCTCTCTCTCTCTCTCTCTCTCTGTCTCTCTCTGCTTTCACAGGTCATCTACACGATATTCAGTCCTGAGTTCCGACAGGCCTTCAAGCGCATCTTGTTTGGCGGTCATCGACCAGTGCATTATCGCAGCGGGAAGCTCTAGATAGTGCATGCGAAGAGGCGAAGGTATGTACATTCAATGTTATGAAAATAGTCGAAATATATAAACATACATATGGGTATGTACATAAATAAAAAAAAAAAAAAGACGTGAGAACATATCCAAAGAAATTGAAAACGATTGCAATTCTGTCCAAACAGAAGCTCTGGCAGTTATTTTTCTTTAATATATTTTTTTCAATTTCGCTTTGCACCAGTTTCAATTTGCAATGTGCTGCAATATTCCGTTATTGATATGGCTTAAGCAGTTGTTGCTGTTGCGGCTGCTGCTGCAGTTGCTGTTGCTGTTTTAGAGAGTGTTTTGAATTTGGCTGTCAACGTATAGTGTCTTTGCTTTGGGCGCCCCATTTCACCAAATACTCGACAGACGCTGGCCATGGCCAACACGCACACACTCAAACGCACACACTCTCTCTCTCTCTCTCTCTCTCTTTCCAACACACCCTCATCCACTCTCAGACGCTTTGCTGCCCGCTTGCCATGGCAGTTGAAACAATTTGTTAGCCTTGAAGGCAAAGTTTCTCGCATCTCTCGACTCATTTCTCAAATTTCCAAAACTGTGAAAAAGTTTTATCCGTCGACTTTATCGGCGCTGTCATCTGCATGCGAGCTGCGTTTTAAATCAACTCTGGACAGGATAACGTATAATGCGCCCAAAGGGTCATTCCAATTATGGCAACACAATGCGTGCGTTTTTATCTAGAAAAACGGCTTTAAAAAATGGCTAAAATTAGAATTAAAAAAAAAAATGAATAATGAGCTCTCGACGGGTTAGCACGACTAAAACATACCTCGTAGGAAGCCTTATAAGAGACGGATAAACGTGTAGACAGAGAGACACAAAGACAGACAAGTAGTGTCTAATCTTTCTGCTCAACACCTGTTACATAAAGTTGAACAAAACTAATATGCCCTCAATTGCCCTACATTTGCATTTGCAGATTTCAGCAGTCGCAGCCGACAGCAGCAAAATCTGAAAGAAACTTTAATTAAGTGAAATTAATTTTGCCAATTTACATTTGAATAAGTTTCTTCCGTATTTAAAAACTATTTTGCAGGCGTTTCTGCTAAGCAGGCGAAAGGACTTGCCTCTTCGTTAAAAATGTATTTAAAAGGCCACAGAAAGCAGCTAAAGAATATGAACAAACGGCAGCGGAAGATGAAGAAGAAGAAGACGAACACCAGCACTCACTACATGCATGTATACCAAAAGTAAAGCATTAGCAGTAGATATAAGAAATTGAGATTATAAATGTATTAAAAATAAATGTATTAAAATATATATTGTAAATAGATTAAGACAAATGTAAATAAGTTGAGCGAATACTATAAAATAATTGAATATAAATATTGAAATAATTTAGAAAAAGCAAAGAATGACAAGAAACTGTTAAAACTCTTTTTAAACTAATTTGGAAAATGTTGATGATATTTCTTTATTGTAAAAAACTACTTAAGGAAATTATGTTTAAAACAGTTTCGGATTTTTTTTATATATAAGTTTGGGGTTTCATTTTAGAAATTCTATTCTGTAAATTGGATTAATATAATGTTGACTTGCTGATAAAAATATTTTGAAAAACGTTCGAAAACCTCTTCCGATTTTCGTCTTAAAAACTAATTCCTAAAACTAATTTTTTAGGATATTTCCGAAACACATTTTGAACATGATTTTTGTACATTGCATTTTTAGAATTTTTGGAAAATTATTTTTTTTTTTCAACTGTTTTTAGAAACGGATCTGTGTTTAAAGCTTGTTTTTTGGGGGAATAGTTTCTATAGCAGCTTTTCTGGGAAATGGAAATGGAAGAACTGTTTTAGAATCTATTGTGGAAACTATATTCTCTTGACAACTGTACCATATTCTCTGCAGAATTTTGAAGCTGTACGAACTATGTAATCAAAATACCAAAAAATACAAAAGTAATAATTAGTCATAAGCTTTAGCAACTAAAATAAAACTAAATACTAGCGAAATCTACTTCCAAATACAAATAGAAAGAAAGAAAAATACTTTTCAAAAGATATAATGAAATATTGAATGTAAGTGTAAACTATTTAGAGACGTAAGATCAGTTACTAGATCATATAGTTTGGGTATGGGAGCATAGCAAATGGACTTTTTTGGAATCGTTATAACTGAACCATACAGCATATATATAAACATATATATCTAAGATATAGCGATCTTTAAGTGTGTATAAAATCAGCTAGAAAATAAGTGCAAAACATTTGTTGACTATTCAAGGGCAATTAGCGTAAGGCCCAAATATATAATTAAAAAATATAAATAAATCAATATTAAATATTAAAAACTTTAAATTTAAATGTAGATTTAAA